TGGCGCTCCTTGGCTGTGCCCCACCTCACAACCGGAGACTTTGTGAGGAAGAAGTCTCACACGTTAGGGTTGCCACTGCCAAGTGAACTAGAGAGACATGTGGGTGACGTGTGGAGTGTGGCCATAATTCCTTCTCTGTGTGTCCACCAGGCAAAAAGGAACAGGGATGCAGGAGGGGACCTGAACCCACACCTGAAGAGCTCCCTGGAGTGTGTTCATTCCAAGCCTCCTCCATGGTCTATTGGGTGTCTGTGTGCTGCTTTACTTATTTATTTATTTCTATCCCGCCTTACCTGACAAGCAGGCTCAAGGCGGCATACAATAATAATTTACAATAAAAACAGATAAAATTCAACAATAAAATACAAAGTGCAAATTACATACAAACAATAAAGTGCAGATGGCGATTGTTGTAGTTGGCCCCATATGACTATCCCAAAGAAAGTACCAGTAATAGATATTCAGTAGCTCGTTCAGTGGCGGCTCCTAATCGAAGGCCTGGTGGAAGAGTTCCGTTTTACAGGCCCTGCAGAACTGTAAGAGGTCTCACAGGGCCCTGATGTCCTCCGGGAACTTGTTCCACTAGTTTGGAGCCGCCACTGAGAAGGCCCTGGATCTGGTAATAGCCAGTCTGGCATCCTTGGGGCCAGGGACAGTCAGGCGATTTAAATTCCCCGACCTCAGTGCTCTCTGGGGAACATGTGGGGAAAGGTGGGCCCTCAGGTAGGCATTAATTCTTTTGTTCTCTCCCTTGTTATGTTCTGCCATGAGTTGGGACATCATGGTATCAGGAAGATGTTTTGGCATCAGAGTGGGTTGTTGACTGCTTCCATCTATAGTTGTCATGGGGATGTTGCCAGCATGCCCCTCCCATAACTGGTGGGCTGCAGTGGGGTTGCTATGGAGTCTGGTGCAATTATTATGCACTCTGCACTTTGGAGCCAAGTCTTGTTCATACATATTTTCTCTCTGCTGAATGAGCACAGGATACCAGCTAGTGGTGCTGGTGCCTGATGCTTAGGTTTGCACTGTCTGATAGCCTAAGGAATATGTGTCATTCTGGGAAGCCAGTTATGCAGTCCACACAAGTAAATAAGTGCCATCCAACAAACTCATATCAGGAAGTGAACCATGTTGGTCAGGCAGGGGTTATCAGGGCTTAAAAACAAATGTAGTCTTAGTGTCTGTGTTCCAGGTGACTGCTTCTGTGATGTCAGGTCTTGTTTGGTACATACAAGACCTCAGGCTGACTCTTCCTCTGAAACATTTTGGCATTTAAAATCAAAATGCTTTAGATGCAGGTGAGAACACTGTGATCTCATTGGAGTCTGTACTTGTACACACACTTGCTGCAGCACTTGGAAGGATGCCAACAGCAGAACTCAGCAAATGCAAGTGAAAGCAGGCTTGCAAATTCCTCATTAGAAAGGCAATCTGTGTGGATGCAGTTATCCACCCTGGTTCGGGAGACTGGGGAGCAGAGGTGGGAAAAAGATGGCCATACTATTAGCTAAGAAGCCGGAAATTTAGCCCAGTCTTCCAACATTTACATTCCTCAGATTTCATGGAGATCCCCAAATGTGTGTGGTGGTGGTGGTGGAGGTGGAAAGTGCCATCAAGTCACAGCTGACTTATGGCAACCCTGTAGGGTTTACAAGCCGAGAGACTTTCAGAGGTGGTTTGCCAGGACCTGCTTCTGTGTGGGGACCCTGGACTTGATGACCTCCCATCCAAGCACTAACCCGGGCAGACACTGTGGAGCTTCTGAGATCTAATGTGATCAGGCTAGCCTGAGACATCCAGGTCACGTCTCTGCTTAGGGTAAGTTGTGATCATTCTGGAAATGAGGTGTCTAAGAAGACATCTGGATTTCTCCAGGCAACTGAAAGGAGATAGTGGTGAAATGCTGCCACAGAACAATGTCATCTTTATTTAAATATAGGACTAAGAGGGGGATTGGAGTCTTCATGAGGACAAGTGGTCCCACAGCTGTCAGTTTCAAAATCCTTCTGATTTGCACCTGTGTCACTTAAAGCCTTGTCTGTTTTATAAGAACTAGTAGACTTGGTTAGGAAGAAGAAAGGGATGGGGAAGTCTGCCACTATAGGGACATATTTAGGGGGATATTGGAGAAAATTCATGGTAGTATAAAGGGTATTTACGTACTAGGATAAATACGAAAGGAGCAAAGAATGAGGATTTGATATGGGGGGGGATACCATAGAGGAACTGGATATCTGGTAGAACATAGCCAGAAGGCACACAAAATAAGGGTCTGTGATATGCATTAAGGAGGACAATGAGCAACATTGACCCCAGTCTTGGGGGGCAGGGCTTGGGCAAGATGGTTCAGTGAACCCCTCCTTTTGCTTCTCCTGCTCATTGTTGCCTTTGCAATCTGTTTGCTCATCCAGACAGACAGCAAGCAATGCAAGCAAGAGAACTGGTGGAAGTGGCAAAGAGGAGGAGTGACAGCTGCTGCTGCTGCTGCTGCCACCAGCCCTGCATAGCACGTAAATGGTGATGGTGGTGGAGAGAAGTTTCTGGGGGCTCCATGTGGCCGTGTTTAATGCACACTGACATTTCAGCATCTGCCTGGGAATGCTGAATCCTAATAGCAACCCCAACAATGAAGTAGTTGAGACAATCATAAGTTTTTGTACAGAGCTAGGATGGTGGTGCTATGCAGTTAGGTAATATTTAACTCTGGATTTAATGACCTCATAGGGGTTCCCCTTCAAATGCAAATCTACAGCCTGTTTTTGGGAGTCCCCCAGCTGAGCTTGTCAGGCAGGGCTTTAGACTTCCACCCCACAGTCCTGCCCTGATGGCACCACTGCTTCTTTGACTGCCTTGTGGGCAAAAATCAATGAAGGATACAGGAGGATGCTTCAACTGAAATGGGCTGAGAACAACTAAGGTATCTGGATACGTGAAGGCAACTGGATTACAGACACCATGACATTAAGGCTCACACTTCGAATGTGCCACCCAATAACCTAATACTGAGGTTTGTGCAGACAAGCAAAACCCTGATACTGTGTGTGGCTAAGCCTTCAGATGGGTAATGCCCCCAACAATTTCTAGCAGCCACTCCACCTGATGGTTGTGTGAATCACCCCCATAAGAAAACACTAACATAGACAGAATATGTTTGGTCCCAACCCATGTCGCTGTGAACTGAACCTGAGCCCTGCTCCATCTGCATCACTCCAAACCTGCAGCAGACTTACAGCAGTGAGATACCTGCTTACCTGCCTATTTTCACCATACAGTTTTTCTTCTCCTTCCACAAAACCAGAACAATGAATTAAACTATGGATTACTAGGGCATGGTATTGGCTTGGGCCACTTCCATACAGGTTTATGTGACCTAGGTTCAATGCTGTCGGGAAGTACGTTTTTTCCTGCTTTCCCACAGCATCATAGTGCCTTTGTGCACCTCCCAGAGTTTCCCTGGTTTTTCCCTGATTTTTCTCAAACCATTAGTGTTGCAAAGTTTGGGGAAAGATCACCATAAAGCCTGGATGGCTGCCATGCGGGTGGGAAACTTTAGATTTTCCTACTCCCATGGCAGCCATTTTCCTTGACTGTGTCCCCACAACAGCCTTTTCTTCCTCCAGCCACTGGAGAGGGCTTTTTTTTTTAAATCATTTACTGAATATCATTATATCACTATAACATTATAACAATCTGTGTATCAGAATTTCTCAATTCCTGGCTTTCTTTCTTTTTTACAGCAAGTCTATAGTTCCTTTCACTGCGGAGATATAAGGGGAAAGGCATATCTCCATAACCAAAGGAACTAGAGACTTACTATTAAAAAATGAAAGCTGGGGATCCATTGAACGGGATACAGAGTGATATATCAATATAACAATATTTAATAGCTGATTTAAAAAAGAAACAGGCCTGGAGGCCTGGAGGAAAGACGGCGGCTGCTGTGGGGCTGAGGCAAGGAAACAGTCTGAGCAGAAACCACTTTGGTGTGGGAGAATGAATGCTGCTGAAAGGAAGAACAAGCGGCAGGCTCTGGGTCTCTGTCCACCTAGTTTGTTCTTCTTTTCTGATCCAGCTTCTCCCTTCCTGGGTTAATGAGGAATACTCTAGAAGTGTTGGGGGCACACACAAGCACCACAAAGTAACCTTGGCCTACACCACTGCCAGTTTCTACTCACGTCTTCTAGAAATGGCAAATTCCAAAAAGGAGATCCGAAGGGGGGAAGGGAAGTGGATGGGGGAATGGCTCT